GGGGCACTGCCCTGGGAGGGGGGGCTGTCCCTCAGGTACTGCTGGGGGGCACTGCCCTGGGAGGGGGGGCTGTCCCTCAGGTACTGCTGGGGGGCAGGGATGTTTGGTCGTTCTCCTCTTGCCTGTCCTCTCCCTTTTGTTTTTCTCTTGTTCTTTTACCCTCTTGCCTTCCCCTCCATATTCTTCTTTTCCCTCCCTTTCTCTCTAGTCTCCCTTTCATCTTCCCTTTCCATCTTCCTCTTCTCCTTTTTCCTTCCTCTCATCTTCCCCACCCTCTCCTCTAACTCCATCTCATCCATCCTCTCCTTCTCACCTTCCTCCCTCTCCCTCTCCCCTTTTTCTCATCCCCCTCTCCTCTCCATCCCCCTCTCCTCTCCATCCCCCTCTCCTCTCCATCCCCCTCTCCCCTTTTTCTCATCCCCCTCTCCTCTCCATCCCCCTCTCCTCTCCACCTCCCTCTCCCTCTTCTTTCACCATCTCATCTTCCTCTCCCCTTTATTATCTTGTCTTCCCACAACCTCCCTCTCCTTTCTTCTTCCCCTCTCCTTTCTTCTTCCCCTCTCCTTTCTTCGTCCCCTCTCCTTTCTTCGTCCCCTCTCCTTTCTTCTTCCCCTCTCCTTTCTTCTTCCCCTCTCCTTTCTTCTTCCCCTCTCCTTTCTTCTTCCCCTCTCCTTTCTTCTTCCCCTCTCCTTTCTTCTTCCCCTCTCCTTTCTTCTTCCCCTCTCCTTTCTTCTTCCCCTCTCCTTTCTTCTTCCCCTCTCCTTTCTTCTTCCCCTCTCCTTTCTTCTTCCCCTCTCCTTTCTTCTTCCCCTCTCCTTTCTTCTTCCCCTCTCCTTTCTTCTTCCCCTCTCCTTTCTTCTTCCCCTCTCCTTTCTTCTTCCCCTCCCTCTCTCTCTTCCTCTCCCCCCACTCTCTCTTCCTCTCCCCCCACTCTCTCTTCCTCTCCCCCCACTCTCTCTTCCTCTCCCCCCAGTCTCCCTCTCCCCCTCCTCTCCCACAGCTGGTGGGCATCCTGCTGGCTCAGATCCTCGTCAACCAGATCAGAGACCAGATCAAGCTGCAGCTCTACAACCAGCAGCACCGGGCAGACCCCTGGTACTGAAACCCCCACACTGGGACCTCGAGGGGGATTTTTCCAAACCCTGGATCCATAGGAAGAGCTGAAGGGGCTTTGGCAGAGAAGCAGGAGGTCGCAGCGGGCTGCAGATGCCTGATCTGGCCGCGGTGCTGCAGAGAGGGACACGCTGAGGACTCGCTGGCTTTTGGCAGGTGACGAGCTGTGCCGCTGCGCCTCCTTCAGGGGACTGAGCCAGCTCTGCTGTCCGTCCGTCCTTCCGGATGTGCTTCCCGTCTCCTCTTGCGCTGGAGATGGGTGCCTGTCTGTCTGTCTGTCCGTGCACAAGGAACTGGGGACGGTCCCCCTTTCGCTGGGTGCCACAACCACCCCCGTGCCCCGCGGGGAGGAGGGCTCAGGGCTTCCCTTGTAGCCGGGAGCAGGAGCCACCCCCTGCCTGTCTGCCCTGGGAAAGAAGGAACAGGAGGTTTGTTAGCCAAGGGTGGGGGTCCCGTCTCTTCCCTGGGAGGGGGGGCTCGAACCCCCCCAGTGAAGTGTGGAGGAGGGGACAGTGTCCTGTGTCCCCTCTGGAGGGGTCCCTGCCAGGCTGTGACATTGTCCTTTGCTTCCATGGAGAATAAAGAGAGACAAGGCTGAACCCTG